GTTGGGCAGCCGCGACTAGCTGGACGCTGGTGTGCGCGCGAGTGAAAGTCGGTCATGTGTCTGGAGGTCAGCAAGACGGGAACCGCTGGCCGCGAATTTGCAGCACATCGAGGCAGTGGACAGTGAACAAGCGCGCCAGACAACACTGTGGGCTGTCAGCCACAAATTTAGTCTTCTCCCTGGGAACCATTTATATCTGCGTATTAGTAAGCAGACATTTTGAACTTGAAATATCTAACAACGAGTTTGCCAACTTGAATAAATACAGACAAGCCAGGACGGAAATAAATGAGTAAACAGGGCTTACAATGTCACCTCTAGGTTCACACATTATAACCATCCAGTTAAGTAATCGGCAGCTATTGTATGATAAATTTTTCGTGAGATTCTTATATGAAAAATAAATCAGCGATTTATGTACGATTTCATCTACAGCCGCTCCTCAAAATGCCGAAGGAGGGCAGTTACTTGTGTATACACCTAGAGTTTTGGCAGTTTTAGCAGTGAGTCCTTCATAACAACCTAGTAGGACCAGATTACTAATTTTAAGAATTACAAAATTCAATAAGCCTGTGGGTACACACGTGCAGCGTTTCGAAGAGCTTGGTCGTGTCATCAGGGATGAAGCATTAGATGCTAAAATTGGACTGAAATGTAAATGGTTTTCCAAGATATTTGGCCCCTAGCTGATCGATTTTCTTTTAACTTTACTACTTATGCAGTTTGTCGGACGTTTGTTAGGGTTGAGTGCTGTGCACGTTATGAGTCATCCATTCGATGGTGAGCGGTCGATTCGCCACAGGAGTTATTCGGTCTAATGAATGATTAAGTCACTCTTGATTCGAATTTGTCGTCGGTCGTATCTGCAGGGTATTATCAAATTATGTGTAGCCGTCTTTTTCTAGTCATCGTGCACGTAATGATGCAGGACTTCAGAAGATGCAGGCAGGTGTAGATGGCTGTTAGTGTACTTGGAATCCGAAAGGCACGCCTCAATAGGTAATTGTTCTGGCCGCATAAGACACTTTGGACATTGCCGTTTTTCCCAAAATGCTTGACGGGTTGAAAGTTTGTATATAGCCTATGAGTTGCCAAGTTGTGCCCATTTAGGCGCAACACCGAATTCTGTCCGATTTCCCTTTATAGCACTTTATTCTGTGGGCAATTGCTGATGTTTCGGTGTTTGGCAGCGCCCTCCTAAGTCGCATCAAACAGCGACAAATTGTCGCCCAGATTCGATGGGCTAAGCCTTTTTTTGATACAGATTCAAAGAGTTCTTTTAGGTAGCGACTAGTCGTCGTCGTCGGTGGATTTAAGGGGTTTCATAGGGAAACAGTCGCTGATTGTGACTGCCTCGTAGCCCGCAGTTTTAAGAGACTCTTGGTTACCTGTGTAGTTGGTTATTTATCTCACTGTTACGGTATTGTTCATAAGAGTGTCGTTCATCGAGGTTCGTATTATGGTAAGCGCCTTTATTGTGCACCTTTGTTAGCCGGCAGGATGATCACATTTTTATCTGCTCGCAGGCTTTTAACTGTTTGCTGTGCTTCGTTGATAAGCGTTTCGTTCTTTGACTTTGCCATTAATTACGAGGAGGTTTGATGACAACTTACATATTTGCATTCCTTCCGA